CCCCAAAACCCCAAAACCCCAGCACTGAATATCGAATATAAATAGGGCATTCAGCCAATATAAATAATTAATTATTTAAAGTAGATATATACATATGTCTAACCAAAACGAATAGGACTAATCCAAAAAAGGAGTAAGCATTAGTTTCAATTTTATAATTCATTATAGATTGGTTTTGGTGCAAAAGGCACCTTCGATTAAGGTATATACGGCGATAAGGGAAATTATCTAGACTACATTCCAGACGAAAATGATACGAATGCTAGTGATCCATTTTAGCAAAGAAGAAATCAAAAGCTTTCTGGCATTACTGGCCAAAAAGAGTTAATTGAAGAGATGAAGATGGGAGGTCCACAAGAAGATCCAATGAAGGAATTTGGCCACAAGAAAATTGCTGATAGAGAGGACTAGTACCACTAAAGAAGAATGAACAGAATGCTCTCACCTGAAAGGGCAAATCCGTTCGACTCACAAGGAGGGAAAAAAGATTAGAACAAATCTAGCGGCGGACTCTTGCCTGCTAAAAGAACTTATTATGATATAATGAGCGAGCAATAGCTAGATAATGAGAAGCAAGATGTGTACAGAAAAGTTGCCTAGAAGCAAGAGGAAGAAAAAAGAAGCTCAGAACAGTAGGATAAGAACAAAAGATAAAAACTCAAGGATGAGACCTCAACAAATGCTAGTGTCACAATAAAGAGCCATATTTAACCATCTGATTGGGATAAACATGAAGCAGGTCCTATCAAGCAGCAAATCAAAGAAAGCAACAGAATCTCAACTAAATGGGATACTCCAAGAAGAACTCCATCAATGGAAGGAGCCACTCCTAGAAGAAATAGATGGGATCTAACACCAGCTTCATAATAGAAACCAGGAGGATCAGGAGTCACAAGTGATACAAGTACTCCATCAAGATTCAGCTAATCAAAAAGCAATTTCGGTGAAACTCCTACTCCTGGCAGATGGTCATAGCCCACTCCAATGAGAATGATATCAGAGACACCAACACCTGGTCAAAGTAGATTTGGTGCTACTCCAATGGGTGGACAAGGTGGAACTAGATGGGACCAGAAACCAGGTCAAACCCCAACTGGTGGATAGGGTATGATGCAAACACCTCTTCAAGGCTATCACCCTATGATGACACCAGTCGGAGGATAAACCCCTTCACTATCTCAACCATAGTAAGATTGTATTAATTTATAAAAATTACGATTTAGCTGGTAAAGAGATGTAAACGATAGAAACAGGCCTTTTACTGACGAAGAGTTAGATCAAATTTTACCCTCTTAGGGTTTTGAGGTAAGTTCACATATTTCAAGCTCAAACACTTCCTTATTTTAAATTTATTTGATCTGTCGACATTGCGTGTCATTGTTGACTTTGAAAATTCTCACTCTTTAACACTGAACAGATACTACGCCAGAGTCTTAGCTCAAAGATCAAGGATGGTTACTTACATGATATTGATGATCGCTTTTGTGATTCATTATCATGATTCTCATATTTTCTCTATTCTTGAGCTTTGAGTCAGATTTAATGGTTTTTCTATTTAGGTTATCAAACCTCCTGAAGGTTATATTCCAATTAGAACTCCTTCAAGAAAACTCTAAGAGACTCCAATGGCTTATTAGCAAACACCACAAGGATTTATGATTCCAGAGGCAACAGGAAAACCTTACGACGTTTAAATGACACCAGGAGGTAAGGGTGATAAGGATGCTATTCCTTTCATTAAGCCAGAGGATGTGAATTACTTCAGTTCACTATTGAATGAAGTAGATGAGGAGCAGCTATCAAATGAGGAGCAAAGAGATAGAAGAATAATGATGTTATTGCTTAAGGTTAAAAATGGCACTCCTCCAATGAGAAAGTCTGCTTTGAAAACATTGACTGAAAAAGCTAGAGAATTCGGTGCAGGTCCCTTGTTCAACTAAATCTTGCCACTACTGATGAGCCCTACTCTTGAGGATTAGGAGAGGCATTTATTAGTCAAAGTAATTGACAGAATATTATATAAGTTGGATGATTTAGTCAGACCATATGTACACAAAATTCTAGTAGTCATAGAACCACTTCTTATAGATGAAGATTATTATGCAAGAGTTGAAGGCAGAGAAATCATATCTAATCTTGCAAAAGCAGCAGGTTTAGCAACAATGATCTCAACAATGAGACCAGATATTGATCATAATGACGAATATGTTAGAAACACAACTGCTAGAGCTTTTGCCGTTATTGCTTCAGCTCTTGGTATCCCTGCTCTACTTCCATTCTTAAAAGCAGTTTGCCAAAGTAAAAAATCATGGAGAGCAAGACACACAGGCATCAAGATCGTTCAATAAATTGCTATACAAATGGGCTGTGCAGTCCTGCCACATCTCAAGAGTTTAGTCGATATTATCGAGCATGGATTGAAAGACGAAGAACAGAAAGTAAGAACTATTACTGCACTTGCTATCTCAGCACTAGCTGAGGCCTCAAATCCATATGGAATAGAAGCTTTCGAATCAATTTTAATTCCACTCTGGGATGGAATTTCCATCTATAGAGGTAAAGCACTAGCTGCCTTTTTGAAAGCTATTGGCTTTATTATCCCACTTATGGATTCAGACCACGCAGGAGAATATACTAAATTCGTTACGCCTGTTCTAATTAGAGAATTTCAAAACAATGATGATGAAATGAAGAAAATCGTCCTAAAAGTTGTAAAGTAATGTGTCAGTAGTGATGGTGTTACAGTCAAGTATGTCAGACAAGATATTATCCCTGAGTTTTTCAGAAACTTCTGGCTTAGAAGAAATGCTTTGGACAAGAAAAACTATAAGCAACTGATAGAGACTACTGTTGAGATAGCTGGCAAAGTTGGAGGAGCTGAGATCATTAAGAAGATTGTAGATGAATTGAAAGATGATAACGAGACTTGCAGAAAGATAGTAATTGAAACTATGGAAAGAATAATTGCTGCCTATGGAGTGGCTGATATAGATGCTAAGCTTGAAGAAAGACTAATGGATGGCATATTATTTGCATTCTCAGAGTAAGCTTCAGAAGATACTTAAACTGTCCTAAATGCTTTTGGAACAATAGTCAACTGTTTGGGAGTAAGAGTTAAATCATATATTCCTTAAATTTGTGGAACCATTCAATGGAGATTAAATAATAGATCAGCTAGAGTCAGATAACAAGCAGCAGATTTGATATAAAGAATAGCACTTGTTATGAAAACTTGTGGTGAGGAAGGATATATGGGTAGATTAGGAGTTATCCTATATGAGTATTTAGGAGAAGAGTACCCCGAGGTTTTAGGATCAATATTGGGTGCTTTGAAGGCTATTGTGAATGTGATAGGTATGTCTAAGATGACTCCCCCTATTAAGGATCTATTGCCAAGACTTACTCCTATTCTTAAAAATAGACATGAAAAGGTGTAGGAAAATTGCATTGATCTAGTAGGTAGAATTGCTGACAGAGGAGCAGAGTATGTTTCACCTAGAGAATGGATGAGAATTTGCTTTGACTTGCTGGATTTGATTAATGCCCACAAAAAGGGTATTAGAAGAGCAACAGTAAACACTTTCGGCTATATCGCCAAGGCCATAGGACCTTAGGATGTATTGGTTATTCTTCTAAATAATCTTAGAGTCTAAGAGAGACAAAACAGAGTCTGTACTACAGTGGCTATTGCAATTGTTGCTGAAACTTGCGGTCCCTTCACAGTGTTACCAGCACTTATGAACGAATACAGAGTGCCAGAAATGAATGTGCAGAATGGAGTACTCAAGAGTTTGAGTTTTATGTTTGAGTACATTGGAGAGATGGGCAAGGACTACATCTATGCCCTTACTCCTTTGCTTGAAGATGCTTTAATCGACAGAGATTTGGTTCACAGACAAACAGCTGCTTCTGCAGTCAAGCATATGTCTCTCGGTGTTGCATATCTCGGGTGTGAGGATGCCCTTACTCACTTGGCTAACTATCTCTGGCCTAATGTCTTTGAAGTATCTCCTCATGTAATCAATGCAGTCCTTGACGGCATTGAAGGCATCAGAGTAGCTCTTGGGTCAGGTAAAATTCTTTTCTACACTCTGTAAGGATTGTTCCATCCTGCCAGAAGAGTAAGAGAAGTTTACTGGAAAGTTTATAACAACATTTACTTGGGTGCTCAAGATAGTCTAGTTTCAGCCTATCCTAATTTCAGAGATGATGGAATTAACAAGTACAGAAGAAATGAGCTTGAGATGATGATTTGAATTTTTGGCTTTGACTAGCTATTGAGAGAAATATAAAAACTTAATTCAATTTTAAAAACTTGAAACCAATCTAAATGATCTTAAATATATAAAGTATCTTTAGAAGATTTTAATGAAAATATTATCCTTTTATAATCTTAATTTGATTTGTCTAATGAATTTAATTTTAACTTTTTATATCCCAATCCATGATATTTCAGGAAAATTCATTGCTTTAAGATCAACAGCATAGGCAGCCAGCAGCCTATAATTATCAAAGAACATCAAATAAAATGGGAGATTAAATACAGTAGGATACCTATGATATTTAATCACTGATAATGCTCTCTAAGAAAATTGAGAGGCAAAGACAAGTAGCTGAGGATGAAAGCCCAATTCTATTACAAAAAATTTAGACATTAAAAAATGGGATTCTAAAGAACAGATTTGCTGTCTTATTCAAAAGTAGACTTTTACTCTTCAAGACTTAAGGCTACTATGAGGTTGGTTCACTGGCTATGTCTGTATACCCTCTAATTAGATGCACTATAAGCTAATTAAATGAAAAAGTGATTTTGACTTATTAAATCAACAACAGCTCTCCATTAAGCCTAATTAGAGACTAGAAAGTCTCAGTAATTTCTGAAGAATTAAACTTTGAAGGATTGAATTCTTAGAAAATTCTCATATTCCCAGACTACAACACTGCTTAAATTTGGCATGATGAGACAAAGTCGCTCATAAATGAGGTTGATGCTAAAATAAACAGACACATGAAACTAACAATTAATCTTAAACAAAATGAATAATCATTTTTTGGTATCCTTCAGAAGTTCCTTTGGGGACTCTGCTGTGACATATACCCTAAAAATTTGAACACCAGGTACTCGATATACCAAGTCACTCTAGAAAATCTAAATGAATCTACTCTGCCATATTACTCAATTGATACACAGCCATCTCAACTTTCATCAGAAAACTTTGTCCTCTCACAAGAACAATAAAACGATCTATCAATCCAAATAGAAGAAAGCAGATCTTCATCATTAAATCCTCATTCTTAAAATGAGTAATTATAAGCATCCTCGCTTTAGAAGTACTTTATAGGCAACAATATCTCTTAGATCAAGTGATTTAGTATGATTAAAGAAGAGGATAATGAAAAGTCTTATGAGAATGATGTCTCAATTGACAATAATCTGTTCAAAGATGAGAATAATCCTCATCAAATGGAGGATTCAACCTATGATCAAGAGTAAGTAGCTTAATATTCTTGTCTGATTGATGCGTGTACTGAATAAAAGCTAAGCATGCTTGAGGATGTACAGAAGATATCAGGCTAGGAATACTCAAACTCGAGGTACGAATAAGAATATTCGCATACCCTTAAAGATTACTATCAGAAACTATCCTCTAAAGAGTTATAACTAAAGACTAGTGCTCCTGAAAGAGTCTTTGAAATCATAACTTATTTTATTGAGGAGTAATAGCAGATAAACACAGATCAATCGATTATCAAAGAAATAGTGAAGAATGTTTTAGACAACTTTGAGGAGTCATTAATGAATAATGCAAGTGAGGTTTTAGCAGAACTTAAAAAGTTCTAAATACCATAAAATTAAAAGAGCTTTGCCAAGCTATTGATAAAGAATAACATTTTGATTAATGATATTAGAGATTTCTATGAGATTTACGATGAATGGATGCATAAGTATCCTTAGTTGATGACTAGCGATATTACAGAAAGCAAATTTAACAGTGAGTCAGCTGCTGACATGATTTTTGAGAGACAAAATAACAGAAAGGAGCTAGAACAACTGCTGATAAAGTTATAAATGATTGATAATTTGAGATTTGAAACTGTACTCTATAAGCAAAACATTCAAATTCTCAAGATATTAAAGTAAATTTGATAAATATATTTATTTCATTTAAATATTTTGGATCTCCACACTCGGGGTTTTGGGGTTTTGGGGTTTTGGGG